TTGAAACATCCTTTGTGATGATGAACACCATGCCATTCCTCTTCAAATTGTCATTCCCGGCATAGTAGACCACATGGTGGTCTGATTCAAAATAGCCAAAAACAGTTCATTTCAGCTCATTAATGCCTAGGATATCAATCTTTATGTGCTTCATTTCATTTTTGACAGCTTCTAATTTTACTAGATTCATGCTTTGTACATTCCATGTTCTGATTATTAATGAATGTGTGCAGCTGTTTCTTCTCCATTTGAGTCGTACCACATCAGCAAATGGAGGTCTCAAAAGCTTTACCTTATCCATATCATTAAGACTGGTTCTTCTCTGATGATGTAGCTCTTTCCTGGTCCTATTTTGAGAGCCTTCTGACCTAAGTGGCTTATCCTTCAGACAATGTTTCTGGGCTATTCATAAAATTGCACAGGAATGTATCAGACAGTGTTTCTCTGCTATTCGTAAGGTTTTCCCTGGTCAATTTTGAGAAGTGGATGGCCTCCTCCTTCTTTTTAGTCTGTCTCAGTCCATAAGCTATTGAAACCTGTGTACCATGTGCAACCCCACTGGCCTTGAGACACCAGTGGCACAGCCTCAAGCCTCATAGCAACACGCCACCACAGTAGGACAAACTGAAGACAAGTTTGTCTTCCTTAGCTGTTCAAAACCTCTCCTCCCTTCCCACTTACCCCTTACTTAGATCCCTGCCTCTTTCCCTCTGCTTGGGAGGGGTGTGGCCTGGGTCCCTGGCCTTACCTGAAACCCTGCCTCTGCTTCCTTGCCTTTGTTCCAGCAGCCCTAGGAAAATAGTACGGACTAGGTCCATAGCTGCTGGAGAGTAAGACATAGGACTAAAGAGAGGCAGACATTGGAAAGTTTCATTTTCTGGTTTGTCATTGTGCTGTTTACTTTTAGTTCATTGCTCACACCAATAAGTGAAAGTCCTGGTTCAATGCAGTTGCCCACTATGTCTCCACTAAGATCCTGTAGTTCCTCCACTCACAGGAAGTAGGGAAGGAGCAAGGCAGGTGAGTTGAAAGGTTGATGTTATTTTAGCTTTCATAAAAAGGGCATGTCCCTTACTAGATGGCTACAAGTAAAAGGACTGAGAATCAAAGTGTTGGCAGGGATGTAGAGTAATTAGAACTCTCTATCATTGCTGGTAAAGGTGTAAATTGGAACCACCACTTTGAAACTCTTCAGCGTATCTAGCAACTGCTCCAGCAATTCCACTCCCAGGTATAGTCTCAGAAGAAATGAGTGTCTGTGTTTACCAATGTACAAAATACACGAGTTGTAATTCATAAGAGTAAGAAATTTGAAGAAACACAAGTATGAAATTTGAAGCAACACAAGTGGGGAGTTCTGGTGGCATAGTGCCTAAGGCACTTGACTGCTAACCAGAAGGCTGGTGGTACAAACCCACCAGCTACTCTTCGGAAGGAGAATTGGGTAATCTACTTCCATAGTGATACTGCCTCGGAAACCCAAGGAGGGGTCGCTATGAGTTGGATCCAAGTTGATGGCAGGGAGGTTTTTCTTTTTCTTTTTTTTTTTTAAGTGTGGTGTTGTTATGGGACATTGAGTCAATTTTCAACTCACAGTGAGCCATGTGACAGAATATAACTGCCCCATAGGATTTTCTAGGCTGTAATCTTTATGAAGGAGCTCTGGTAGCATAGTTACTAAGGCACTTGACTGCCTACCAGAAGGCTGGTGGTTCAAACCCACCAGCCACTCCTCAGAAGGAAAGTTGGGCAGTCTACTTCCGTAGTGATACTGCCTTGGAAACCCAAGGAGGGGTCACTATGAGTCAGGTCCGACTTGATGGCACATAACAACAACAACAACAATATTTATGAGGAAGCTCTGGTGGCATAGTGCCTAAGGCATGTGACTGCTAACCAGAATGCTGGTGGTTCTAATCCACAAGTCAATCCTCACAAGGAAGATTGGGCAATATACTTCCATAGTGATACTACCTCAGAAACCCCAAGAGAGGTTGCTATGAGTCAGATCCAACTCGACGGCAGTGAGTTTTGTTTGTTTTAATCTTTATGAAGGAGCCCTAGTGGGACAACAGTTAAGTTCTCAATTAGGCTAACCAAAAGTTTGGCAACTCGAACTCACCCAGATGCTCCATGGGAGAAAGACTTGGTGATCCAGTTCCATAAAGATCACAGCCAAGAAAACTACCTGGCAGTCCTACTCTGTCACATGAGTTGAAAATGGACTCAGTGTCACCTAACAACCACAAACCTTTCCAGCAACAGATCACCAAGTCTTTCTCCTACGGAACAGCTACGGGAGTTTGCACCACCAACCTTTCGGTTAGGTGCTGAGTGCTTAACTATTGTGCCATGAGAATTCCTTAACTCAGGTGTAGAATGGATGAGTTGTGTTATATTCATACGATGGAATAGGACATTACGATGAAGAAGATTCGGCTACTACTGTAAGCAACATGAATGATCTCAGAGAGAGAATTTGGAACAAAAGAAGCCAAGCACAAAAGAGGCCATTTTGTGTAATTGCAGTTACATGAAGTTCAAACCAGGTAATGCGAATCTGTGAGGATAAAGATCGGAAGAGGGGATGCCTTTGGAGAGGAGTGTACACATCATCAGGCTAGACCTTAGATCTGTGTACTTGACTGAATATAAATTATACTTTATCAAATATAAATTACAAAAAAGAAAAGGTGTCCATTATGTTTTCTCCTTTGCAGATGTACAACTCATTGTTTATCCACCCATTATTAATTTATTTTACGGCTCAGCTACTTTTGAAAAAGATTTGAGGTGACTGAAAAAGACTTTTTTGCTGTTGAACTAAATTTATAAGTGAAGAAATCTGGGTGATGCCATTTCAGAAACCAGAGGTAAGGATAGGTCTCTGTATTTATGTCAGGAAGTGAACTGAATGGAGCTTCCTAACAGTCAATGCAAAGAAAGTACAAGGATACTGCATCCAAAAGTTAACAGTCCATCCGATCAGCGGAAGCATGGCCAGTCCCGAGACGTGGGAGAAATTCCTACTGGGCAGTCTCAGAAAAAGGCAACTGTGTGACCACAGTTTTAAGGGTTGTCAAACATCTCATTTGGGATCCAGGGTCTCTTCAGACCACATTTTCACACCTACTCCACTCCCATCCCTGCCCTCGTACAATTTGGGGTGAGGCAGCAGCTTGCTGATAATCAAGGCCCCCCTCTGTCTGTGTTGTAGGCCTGGCCACCAGACACCATTTCCATTCCTGGCTGTGGCTTAGGGGAAACCACCATGCCTGTGAAGGCTGGGCTACTGTTCTTGGGGGTGCCAGGCTTGCCATCCTCACTTCTGGAACTCACATCTGCATCCTTAGCCTGTTCATTGCCACTCAGCCCCTCTGCTTTCTTGTCGGTGGTCCTCAGTGGCTTTGTCCCCTCACCAGCAATGACCCTGCGTGGAGCAGTTCCCTGGCGGCTGGATTCTTTCCATTTTAGCATTTGAGTTGATGGATCTTTCCATTTCCTGGCTCCAGTTTTTGAATTGAATTCATATATTTCCCCAGTAACTACAGCGAAAAAAAAACAAAAAAAAAAACACCATAAACTAGGAAATTCACTGATTCTCCCCTTCCCCCATCTGCACCCTGCTCTACTTCCACTCCCAAGCCAAGATGAAGCATGCGAGAAGGTGTGAATAATTGAGAGACAGAAAGCAGGCTTGTGAATATCACAATCTTCACCAGCCTGCCCTTTCCAGAAACCATACATTGCCTCTCTGGGTAGAAAGGTTTAGGAGACTCTCCTGGCCATCTCAACAACAAGGTGAGAAAGAGATTTAACTCTTGAACTCCATGGGAATTTAGGATAAATTAAGCTCAATTTCTAACAGAGTTGCCAGTTACTTTCTGATTTAGTTTGTTTTAAAAGGCCCCTGAATCCTTGCTCTTGAAAGGAATTCACCAAGTGAGGAGAAAGAAACTTTGGTTTTTATTTACGTTGAGTTAGCAGAGTTTTTCCATACGGACACACAAATCTGGCCCAAATGGAGGTGATACGAGGGAGCCACTTTTATTGTGTCAAAGCCAACAGGCGCTAATTGATGTGTTTGTTCACATTCGTCCAGTTGGCCCATCTTCCTTTTTCCTTTCCCTCAAAGACACAAACCCAAGACAACAGCCTCTGAGGTCCCTGCTTGTTACCTGGGAAGACGGAGCTGCAGGTGAGCCCCTGCTCTGCCCTCCCATCCAGCCTGAGTGGCCTCTCAGCTGTGGAGCCCACCAGCACTTATGCTAATGTGGGCACATTATGGTAACAAGTGCCTAATAATAGAGGGAAATTTAATTCCAGCAGCAGCAGCAGCCTCGCTGGAGAGGAGCCATCCCTCAGAGGAGGACCGAGCGTTTTGCATATGAGGGTGGCAGGGAGCCAACACACTTGCCTCCTGAATTTGGTTTCTTTCCCTTTCTTTATTCACATCTATAATTGAGCCTTTGTAAGTGGAGGGATGTGTGTAAAGGAGCTAAATTTGGAGCTGATTTCATAGGGGTGATGAGCACTCTCAGAGGCCAGCTTCACCTTATGTTCATCTTGCCGACCAAGAAGAAATTCTTGGCTGTGATCTAGGGAAAAAAGAAGCCAAATACGCCATTTCTCCGCATCTCTCACTACCGATAGGATGGTGTTGGAAGTACTCGGGGGAGCGGGGTGGCCCTGAGAGTCCCACTGAGCAGGAAAAACTGTAGGCTCTTGTGTTCACAATGCCCTCAATTGGTTCATGATTTAGGAAGGGGGATGAGAAACAGGCGTGGTCTTTGAGCAAGTCGTTAATTGGCAACTCGCTGAGGGCTCACACATGATCATGTCTTTAAGCAGCTGCAAGACAGCTGTGCTCAGAGTAAGTCTCACCTTGGATTTCAACCTAGAAAGGTCAGCCATATATGCAACATAGCCAAACTGACTAACAAACTGAGTTAAGAGCAAGGAAGTTGGATGAGGTCCTCCCTGACCCTCCCAGCCTGGAGTATGAAAAACAAAGGCTACTTCCTTGTGGATGGCATTACCACTTCATTACCTGGGTCTGTGGCTTCTCCATCAAAGACTGTGTTCATATGGATTGTTTCCTAATGAGGAGAAAAAGACAGCATCAAACACAACCCTACACTCCTCCCCACAGGCAAGGCCGCTCTCCCTCACAAACCAACTTCCTTTCCCAAAGCCTCTTCACATTTATTTATTCAACAAGTGCTGTGTTAGATGCTGGGAACACAGGGTGGATAAGGAAGGGTTTGGGTACTGCCTGCGCAAAGCTTGTAATCATGTGGGAGCTACTGACAAACAGATGATAGTGGAAATCTAGGATTTTATGGGGGGACACGTAATTCAGACTTGGGGGTTAGCAAAGCATCCTGGAGTGAATGATATGTGAACTGGACAGAGGGAGAGTAGAAGTGACATGCAACCCTGGCTCAGATCCGCATTGCCTAAGTGGACTCACTGCCAGGCAGAGTTACAAAGCAGGAACAACTGAGCACCTATGTGCTCCTGCCTGCATGCCCTGGCACCCATCCTCTCCTGCTGTCTCCCTTCACCTGGGCCAATGCTGCACTGCATCTGGGCCTGGCCTTCCTTACCTAAGCCCTGTTCTCCGTACCTCGTCCCTCCTCTGATCCGTGCTCTGTGCTGGCCCCTAGGACCTGATCTCCACCTAATGTATCTGTCCCTGTTCCCAGGGAAATGGCTCCTTCCTTCTTATGGTGCCAAGGTCTGACTGTGTAGTGTGCAGATGAGGAAGCTGTTTGAGGCTTTTCAGTCCCCAGTTTTACCACACACATGAGCACTTGCTCATTTGCCCACAGCTCTCCAACTTGGAAAAGATAGGAAAAGGGGCATTATCCATTTCATCCATTTCACCAGCTAAGTAGCACCCCATTTTATATGTTTGTGGGGTTTCTTTATTTAAGAGATTGATATCCCATAATTCTAAGGTGGTCTCTAAGTGACATCAACAAGGGTACTTGCCTTAGTAACAGAAGACCAGAGATGGTCTCTTTCTCCCATCTGCAGACTGACGGGGCCGTAAAACACTTATGTGATGGGGCCGAAGCGAAGCTTCCAGTGCACTGGATTGGTCTCCTTACTATTCATTTCCTCCCCTAAATTCATGGGGCTTAGATCACAACAAAGTCTTACTATCAGGGGGAGGGGAAGAGCTAGAGGACTTACCTTCAATATCCATCACTCCCCAGTGGTGGTCAGATTCAGTGAAAGAAAAATAAATGGAAACGGGGTGCGGAGGTAATACTCCCAGCTGTCCTATAACACTCTGCATTGGTGTGACACTAGACAATCTAAAAATATTTTCCCACCTGTTACCTCAGGGCAGATGTTCTCACTCCCATTTCACAGATGAAGAATCTGGAGCTCAAGAAGGCCAGGGGCTCCCCAAGGTCATTTGCCTAATTGGGCAGAGCCAACCCCAAACCCAGCCAGTACTCTTTCTCTATAATTTTTCCACAAGGTTGTGGAAGAGCAAAGAAAAAATAAATCCCACTGAAGGCTGAAGTGCCAGTTCTGGTCTTTAAGCTCCACTCCCCCTATTCATGCTCCTGGAGGGCTGGTATAGATAATAAACACCACTATTCAATATTTATGAAATCTAGTTCTTTTGCAAATATATCAGCAGACATGTTCAGTGGAGGGAACAAATTCTATCAGAGGCTCGTCACACAGCAATCTGTTCCAGTGGCCAAATACAAGCATCTCCCTGAATGACAAACACTCTTGAGAGATTGTGGCAGAGCCTGCTTGGGGGGTCCACACCTCCTGCCACTAGTGCCCAATCCAGGAGCCCCAGTGCCAGCCACACTCACCACCACAGTGGCTCTCTTTGCTGTCTTCATTTCTGCAGGGAATAGGATAGGCAGAAGTCAAGCTTCCTGGACACTAAATTGACCTTAAAAATTCTATACCCCAATGGTACTTCTCCTAAATAGGCTTTGAACTCAGTCTTACAGACAAAGCAAAGAATTTTTCTGTGTATAGACATGATTGTTGACAGCTTGCCATCTCAGAAATACATATATATGTATGTATGTATGTATGTGTGTATATATATATATATATATACACACACACACACACACACACATACACACACACACATATATATATATTCATAAACAAAGGAGTTCTGGTGGCACAACAGTTAAGCGCTCGGCTACTAACTGAAAACCCACCAAAACCAAATCTATTGCCATCAAGTTGATTCCAACTCCTAGTGACCCCATTGGGTTTCCAAGGCAGTAAATCTTTATGGAAGTAGATTGCCCAATCCTCCTTCCATGGATAGAGTTGAACCACCAACCTCTGGTTAGTGGTCAAAATGCCTTAGGCACTGTGCCACCAGAGCTTCTTACTAAATGAAAGGCCAGTGGTCTGAACCCATCAGCTACTATGTTTAAGAAAGACATTAGAGTCTGCTTCCATAAAGATTATAGCCTTGGAAACTCTACCAGGCAGTTCTACTCTATCCTATAGGATCACAAGTTGGAATCAACTCGACAACAGGTTGATCTGGTTATACTCATACATACCCAATTAAAATTATTCTTTCTCTTTTTTTTTTCTGCTTATGGTTATTACTGTGCCTAGGACATTAGCTTTCAAATGACTTTATAAGAAAGTTCAAGTAGATACATTTCATCCTCACAGGTGGATTTTTTGCATCTATTTCCTATGTTCTTTCTAAAAAGTAACTGGGATTGCAGACAGTTTGTGACAATCTCATTTATTAAAATAATCTTCTTCAATATGACCAATGGTCATTATAAACAAAATGTTAATCCTGCATAGATGTGCCATGTGCACGTTAGACACACAAATACCTGTGAAAGGAATGGCTACAGTGTGCATTTCCTAATCCGCTTTCCACTTCCTTGCCCTGTCTGCTCACAGCCTGGGTCTCTTCAAAGTCATGACTTCCAGAGCCAAGTCATGATCCATCCCCAGGCCTGGAGCTGTTCAGATCGGTCTTATTCAAGTCAGCAACTTTCCCCAAATTGCTCAGCTCCCCCAGCTCCCCTGACTGCACCCAACTCCCCTTTCTCTCTAAATTGGTCTGTATAACTTATGAAAATGATCAAATCCATTATCATCTGAGACTCAAGTATGGTTTGTTTTAAAAGAGGAATCTGTCCAAGACAGAGCATTAGCTGTCTTGGGGGGAGGGGTGTCACACATACAGCAGTGAGTACTGTCTGTGTTTAACACAGGAACCCTGATGGCTCTGTGGTTAAGTCCTTGGCTGCTCACTGAAAGGTCAGCTGTTAGAATCTACCAGCTGCTCCACTGGAGAAAGATGCGGCAGTCTACTTCCCTAAAGATTACAGCCTCAAAAACCTTATAGGGCAGTTCTGCTCTGTCCTATCGGGTTGTTATGGGTTGGAATCAACTTGAGGGCTGTGGGTTTGGGGGGTTTGGTGTTTAACACACAGAGTATGCTTGATTCCTGTTCTGCTCAGCAGGGAACTGAATGGAGATGGATGGAGCCAAAGTGAAAGGTCTGAGTAGGCCAGTGGCACCAGGCACCCCTCCCTTCCCTTTCTCCAGTTCCATCTGACCTCTGCTGCCTTCCACCCAATGAAAACCTGCCAAGACATGATTATGCTCTGATTCTTTGCCCAGCTGGAGTTCTTTAACATAGTTCAACAGACCAAGAAGATAAACAGACAACAGACACTGAACATACCTCCTTTCTTCACCCTGTGGGGGAGAAAAAAAGAGAGAGAAAGAGGCATTGATTAGCTGCAAAGTATGTGGCCTTGCGGTACATACATAATAACATGGGGTCCTTTGAGCAGCTGTGCTTCGTGGGCTCCAGGGGTTGATTGAAAGAGAGGCCAGCAGTGGGGGCCAAAAAGAAGGCTGGGCAGGTGGCTCTGGGAGCCCAGCCCTGCTCCAAATGTCACTATTGGCTGCAGACAAGAAAGTTGTGTTGGTTTCATGAGTTTGAAACCAATTGCTTTATAGAATTTCAAGGAGTATATTTTCTCTGATGATGACAGAAAAGGGCTCTGGTGGTACAGTGGAGACATTTGGTTGCTAACCAAAAGGTTTGCAGTTCCAACCCACCAGGGGCTCTGTGGGAGAGAGATGAGGCACTCTGCTTCCATTGAGATTTACAGCCTTGGAAACCCTATGGGGCAGTTGTACTCTATCCTATTCCTATACAGTCACTGTGAGTTAGAATCGACTTGATGGCAATGTTTGTTTTTTTTTTTAAGATGATGACAGCTAGTGAGGACAAAATCAGTTATCAATGAGTTGATGCTGACTCATGGTGTCGTATATGTCAGAACTGTGTCAGAGTAGAACTGTGCTCCCAAGAGCTTTCAGTGACTGAGTTTTCAGAAGATCACAGGCCTTTCTTACAAGATACCTCTGGGTAGACTTGGACCTCCAATCTTTCCGTTAGCAGCCAAGTTCATTAACTGCTTGCACCACCCAGTGTAGGCAGGACCATCCCAATCAGACTGCCCTGCTAATTCTTCTTGTCCCTCCACTCTCCATCAGCCAGTAAGCAGAGAGTCGGGCTCACAGAGAGGGTTCAGGGACTGGCAGGTAAACCTTTGTTTCCTGCAACATGAGGAGCTGGACTCGATTGCCAAGGCCCTTCCCATGATAACTAACTTTGGATTCTATAATTTTATAACTCTAACTGTATTCTTTTTTATTTGACAAATGTTGACTGCCATATGTTACAACTAATTTCCAGAAAGGCCAAGTCGGCCTGAATTTTTCACTCATTTCTCGTAAGTCAACCATGTTGGAAACAATATTTAGAATTTAAGTTAAAAACACCCAGGTTCAAGGTGCATATTTAACACTTAGCTATAAATTACATGTGACTTCCAGTGTCTATTGGATTACTTCCTTCAAGAACTTCTGGCCAAATCCCATTACAGAGCACTGCCATCCTTACAAGCTTAAGTGTCACTCTTTCAGAGACTTTTTTTTTCCCCAAAATCAATTTGCAAATAGAGTCCAAACAAAAATGTCTTTTTTTATTTCAGCAGATGCTCAAGGATTTCTTACCTTGAAGTCAAGGTTGCCAATAGCAACAACTTCCCCAATAAATATGGCAAAATGCAATGCATATCTCCGTGCTAATGCTCTATGCTTTTACACTGAGTCTTTTATCCAGATTTTAAATTATTTGACAGTACTAGTTAATCTTCAAAATACCTTTAAAAGGCACATGAGACTTATCACCCCTTCTGTTTCCCAGTGAGAAATCCTGAACTCAGCGGTTCTAACACCCTGAGATATTTGGGCATAGTGCCAGACTTGAAATCCAGAATCCTAAACCTACTGGTACTCAACTGTGAAGAGTAATGTAACCAGAGAATAAAAATAATGGCTGTAATATATTAAGCATCTATCTATATCAATATCTACATATAACACAGAGAGAGAGAGAGAGCAAGAAGAGTCTCTGAGTGCTGTAAATAGTTAACATGTGCAGTTGCTACCAAAAGGTTGGAGGCTCAAGTCTCCTCAGGCACCTTGGGACAGAGGCTAAGTGACCTAGTTCTGAAAAATCAGCCACTGCAAACCCTCTGGAGCAGTTCTACTCTGACACACAGAAGTCAGATTTGATTTGATGGCAACTGGGTGGGTACACACCAGGAAGAGTGCTAAGTGCATTGGTTGCTTGCATTTGCTCACATAGTGGTTTAGTTTTGTAAATTAGGCAGTCAAGGCTCACTGAGGTTGGCACTTGTCCAAAGCCACATACCTAGAAAGTGAGAGAACCAGGGTTTGAACTCATAGCCATCATGCTTTAGCTGTAAAAGCTACTGAGAATCTAGAAACTTGCCTCTGGGGGCAGTTTGTAACAATACAGTGCTCTCTCCACTTCATTCTGTTACCTCATCTCAGCCAGTAAAAGACACTTCACAGACTGAGACAGTAAAAGGCATATTAGTGATCAGGTGATAGTAGGAAGGAGAGAAAACCCACTTCTGTTTACAGCTCTTCAAGAGTGAGAGATCGTGCCCACTTGCAAAAGAACAATGATTATTTCATCTCACAGGGGCCCAATTAAGTCATTGGAACCAAAAGCTTAATTCCATTTTTTATGCTTCCTCTGATCCCATCCAATCTCTTAAAAATCTTACAAAAAGCGTGCAGCTTATTCTGCCACTGCTCACAACAGGGCATTCTATAGCTTTTATCCAGGTCCAGGTACTCCAAGCTTTGCAGCCCCAGTTTCACTAAGAGTCCATCAAAGGTGGGGCATGTTGCCAGGAGAAGCAAAAAGAATGGTTTCACGGTCCAGTGGGTGATGAGAAGGGGACACCAGGGCCAAGGGAAGCTGAGATCCCTTCCCTCATATCTCCTTTTCTTTCCTTCACTCCAGGCACCCTGCCTGTGGAGGAATCCTGGTTCTCCACCTTTCCTTCTGCTGACATCATTGAAAACTCTACTAATGGAAGTGGTGGAAAGAGCCCAGTTCACTGCTGACTTACAGAGGTTTCTTGTCCTTCCTGGTCTTGCAGGGGCAGTGTTTGTGAATGGCTTTTGCCAACAGGATGATCAGGGACACCAGGAGACACAGAAGCAACATGGAGCCCACGGTGACGACAAAAGGAACATACCACGCAGATGGAGAATAAGCATTTTTCCTCTGGATCAGGTAAGTGATCCTAGGCTTGAACAGCAGAAAGTGGGGCGGGTGAGTGGAGCATGGCAGCATTTGGCCATTTAGTAGTCCCTTGTGTTGAGTGTTTACTTCTACCCTTTGTTCTTACTCTATCATCTGTGGGCTCACAATTTTTGCTGCCTCAATCCATCACCTGACCAGTTGTCTTTCTAGGCATCCATCAGATCAAAGTCCAGAAAATTCAGTGAAAGGAAAAGCAACTCTGGGCCTAATTTCATTCTCTCTCTTTCTTCTCCTTCCTAAATGCTAAAAATGCCATTGGCGGAGTTCCGGCAAGATGGCGGACTAGGCACAAGGACTGCACAGACCCTCTTCAACAAAGAAAAGGGAAACCAATTAACACAGACACAGAAGATAATCTTGGACCCCTGAGCCTTGAAGGGAAGG